CAACTTGTGTGACTAGTATTACTACTAATACTATTACTACTACTACTACTATTATGATTTATTATTTCTTTTGACACAACATAAAGGCACCTTTTTTCCTTTCCTTCTTGTTAGTGGTTGTTGATTGAACTGGCTTTGTTCCTTCTATCTCTTTACCTGCTTAATTTGTTCATGTTTGTTTGTTTTCTTCTTATTAACTTGGGGTTTTCATTCATTTTATTATTATCATTGATTTACATATTACTTTATTTAAGAAAAAAAAACAAAATAAACTACTTTTTTTTAAAAAAAAGAATGAATGAACAAACAAACAAACAAACAACCTCATCCTCATCCTCTCATCATCCAATCCATTAATTACTTCCTTCAGTTTTTGATCCTACAACTTGTTTTTTTTGTTTGTTTGTTTCCCATCTCCATTTCTTTTTTCTCGTAATAATGAATCTCCAGGGCTTGGTTTGATTTTCTGACCAGGGTCTTGCCTCTATGTGGAGCTTTCTCCTATCTGGAAATGATTGATTCTGGGCAACCGTTGAAGGACATTTGGTGTCACGTTCTGGGGCCCTTGGCCCCCTGCCATACCATGATACACTTACTATCCAGGTGTTTGGGTGGTTCCAGAGACCCATGATCCCAAGGAATTCCATATTTTCCAGGCATCCATGCTCAGTCCCTCTCCAGATCCCTCTCCAGACCCTCTGTTTCCAAGGATTGTACAGCCAAACATGTGAACTTAACAAAAGCCTGCCTCCCTGCTGCGGTGTGGGGCACTGTAGCCGCTTGTCAAGTGTGCAAGCACTAGGGACTCTCCCGCAGGGAGAGGACTTAGGAATAATGAGCCATCAGGGCCCAACAGCATCTCCAAGCTTTGGTGGCGGAGGATGTTGTGAGCACTTGCAGACCTCAGTTTTGAACAAGTTTTTTTCTCCTTCTTCATAGTTTAAACTTTGTATTTTTCTTTATCAAATAGTCAATTCAGAACCTGAAATTTATATCCCATTCATGATCAATAAAATTCATGAAACTTTGAGTTTCTTGAATTTCTGTGGCCGCTTACTAGCAAAGCCATGGTTTTTTGGGTGGCTCTTTTTCTCAACAAACCTCTCTTTTTTTCTAACCTTTTGGCCTTTAATCTCAACGGCTTTCAGTTTATTCCCCATTTCTCTCTCCTCCCTCCCTCTCTCTCCCAACCCGATGCATACACTCCCTCCTCGAGCATATAACCACCTGACCCCTCACCATTCAAGACACCAACCTCTCCGATTGTTCAAACTGGTGAGAGGACAAAGAGTTCAATCCCCATCCAAAGAGATTCCAAGGAACGATTTCTTCCGAGCGAAGGGTCGAAGGATGGCCTGGACAATCAGATTGACAATATGTGCAAAGCACCTGATCCACTGCTCCTCGCCCTTAAATTGTTTCCAATTGAGTCTTTCCAACTCTGAAATCATCGTCTCGTTGTTACTTGCATTGTTGGAAACAATACCACATATCTAGACAGAGATGAGGAACAGGGGCAGATATCAGAGCAATAAGGGTGAAAAAGATTGGTTACACATGGGGGGTTGAGACAAAGAAAATCATACGCACCCTATTTTCTAAACCAAACTTCTCAACAATATATCTTACCATGCGCGCCAGGTATTCGCCTGTGTGCCTTTCTTTGAGCTGCACAAAGTCCAGGGGCATGGCGTCCAATTTTGCATTGCCAGCGCCATTGTCCACAAGTCGATATACCACCGTGCCAATAATATCGTATCCATTTGGTGACTGCCACGCATCAACACCCAAATATAGGGCCCCCTCATGCATATGAATAGCCCAAAAACAAAGTTTGTACTACTGTCAGTAATAATCAAAGGTTGATTGATATATGATATTATCAGAGCCAGAAAATTTAATCACTCACCTTTAACTCTTCACATAGTTTCTCCTGAACACATAAGTAGAGCATGTGAATACCTTGTGAAATCATCTTTTGGTTTGGAAGGTTCTTCAAGATTGTTGGATGAAG